GAAGTTAAATTTTTTACAAGAAGCCAAAATCCTCACATAATACAATCAGTCATCCCAATATTGTCAAAGGTATAGAAGTTTGCACATAAACGCAGTCTATTTACATCATTAAGGAACTAGTCCCCGGAGGCAGTTTCCTCTCTTTTCTGAGAAAAAAAGGATGAAATTTTCATCAGATGCTGCTTCTGGGTGGCGAATTTCAAATGAAGATTGTATACACAGGAACCGTGCTGCAAGGTACTGACTAGAGGTGAAAATAACATCCTGACAACTGGTGACTTTGGAATGACTTGTCTAGAGGATGGTGGATTGTAGTCATCTTCTGACCTAAAGCAGATTCCCCTGAAATGGACAACACCGAAGCTCTGAATTATGAGAGATACTGAGAGTGATGCATGGAGCATTGGCATCCTCCTCCAGGAGACCTTCAACTTAGGGGACTGTATATACCCTTTTTGCCCCTGGAGCAGATTTTATCCATCTTTTCAGATTTAAATGAAGGGCTGCCTTTTTCATTGCCTGAAGATTTTGACTTTTTTTTTTTTTCCTTGTTTTTCTCATTTGGATAAGGAGAATCACATGGATTTTCACTTTTGTGTTTTTATTTTTTAAAAAACTATATTTCTTTATTGATTTTAGAGAGGAAGAGAGAAGGAGAGCGAGATAGAAACATCAATGATGAGAGAGAATCATTGATCGGCTGCCTCCTGCACACCCCTGCCTGGGATCGAGCTGCAACCCAGGCATGTGCCCTTGGCCGGAATCGAACCTGGGACCCTTCAGTCCGCAGGCTGATGCTCTATCCACTGAGCCAAGCCGGTTAGGGCCACTTTTGTGTTTTTAAACCGCCATTGTTCCGTTTTCTTCTTTTCGCCTCTTGGTTAAGTCTGGTAGCACTTCCCCGTCATTGTTTGAGTGATGCCGTTTCCGCTCTTTTCTATCCTTTTCATCTTTTTTCTCTCTTTCTCTGGATCTTTCCCTTGACTTGTCCAATTCTTTCTTGTCTGTTTCTCTCTCCTTACTCTTGATTAGTGGTGAAGGAGTATGAATAAGGTACAGCTTTGCTGAAGACTCCTTGAGTTCGATGAGACTGTCCTTTGTTGTGGAGGTATGTGATGGAGAAGGGTGTATATCAATTTTGCAGCGTTTTTGTTCCATTTCGGGCTCAGTAATACCTGATCGGGGAACAGGTGACTTCAAGGGCCCAGAAACTGGTCTTTTTTCTCCTCCTTTAACATTTTCTTTTGATTTTATTTCCTTTGCTATATCTCTTTCTCTGAATGACTCCTTCTCTATTTCCTTTTCTTGAGTCAATTTTGATTCTATGTTGGGGACAGTGGTCTTAAATTTCTCATCTTTAGCTTTTTCTTCCTTCTTGAGATTTATCATTCTCCTCAGCACTGCTTTCATGAGATTTAGATGCACTTCCTATGGAAGATGAAGGCCCACCAACAGGCCCATTGTGTACACTGGCAACTACATTCTTCGGAGTGGGGTCTTTGTGATGAAACTCATTTTCAGGTACCATGTATGACTTCCTACATTTCAACTTCCCAGAGTAGCCACTAGCTAATGCATATAGACGAGGCCTTTTCCCTTTTTCTTCTTGGCAGATTTTATTAGAAAACTGTGGTACATCTACAGGATGGAATACTATGCTGCTGTTAAAAAGAAGGAACTCTTACCATTTGCAACTGCGTGGATGGAACTGGAGAGCATTATGCTAAGTGAAATAAGCCGGTCAATGAAGGAAAAATACCACATGACAGTCTGCCTCGAACAGACTGTCAGACTACATCGGGAAGGCCGGAGAGGGTTGGGGGTCAGGAGAGGGTGCAGGTAAGAGATCAAGTGAAGGACTTGTATGCATGCATATAAGCATAACCAATGGACATAAGACACTGGGGGGTAGGGGAGGCCAAGGGATTGTCAAGGGCAGGGGGAAAAAAAGGAGACATATGTAATACTCTTTGTAATACTTTAAGCAATAAAAAAAAAAAGAAATTGAACCGTTTTCTTACACCTTACACCAAACAGCTGTTGCCCTTAAAACCCCTCCTCAGCCCCCATATAGGTTCTGCCTTTGCAGTTCACCCAGATTAGGTTCTGATTAGTCAGTTTCTATGCCAGTCAGTGTCAAAAGCTCCACCTCCTAGGCAGCCATTGGCTCCTTGGAGTTCACCCAGGTTTGGTTCTGATAGGTTGGTTTCTTTTCCAGTCAGTGTCCCTGGGCCTATCTTGAGACCTGATCTGTAGCTTTCGTGGCAGCTGCTGATCAGACCTTGCCTCCTGGGGGAGGTAGGGGCTGGGACCAGGGGATAAAGGTGGGGCAGGGCAGAGGGGACGGGGCTGGTGGCAACTTTGCGTGGCTTCTACCAGGGTTTCTGTGGCCCCACGTGCCTGGAGGCAGGGCATCAAAGCGGCACTCCAGAACTTGGGGCCGTCCCGCAGCGCACTGGTCACACAGGGCGGGACTCCGGGACTCGGACCAGAGGGGCAGAGCCTGGAACTGTGGGAAGGAATGCAGGCACTGGCCCTGTGGGTAGAGGCATGGCCTTGGCCTAGCCCAGAGAGTGCAGGAGGGGTAAACTCAGGCACAGGAATTACTAGAGTTAAAAGCAGGGACATGGGCACAAGGGACAGATGTGGAGTCAGCAGAATGAGGGTGAACACCAATAGAGAGGAAGTGCCATGGAGTAGTGTACACAAGGACGTACCCTGAACATGGAGGCATGCCCAGTCTGTAGGGCATAGCTTTGCTGCCCGCAGAGGCGTCATGAAGAAAGTCCTGCTAGAAGGAGGTTTGAACCCAGGCAGAGGACAGGGGCGGGGCCAAGTTACCATGCAGGCACTCAACCATGGAAGAGGCTCTGAGCCAAGCCAAGGTGCCCTTAGGAGGCGTGGTCAGGGTGTGGCTTAAAGCATTGTTGGGCGGACAGGGGCATAAGGTGAATAAGCAAAATGACGTAACCGGCGCGAGGGGCGTAGCCAAGATGGCTGCCTGCATGAACCTCATCCCAGTAGCAAGTGCAGGGGTTTGTGCTCAGAGCCTTCGGGTAAGGTCCCATGGCTCAGGGAGTGGTCCCGGGTCTCGCACGATTTCACACGATGGGTCACTAGTCAACAATAAAAAATAAATTAATTAATTAAAAAAATTTTGTGCTAATGTTTCAGGCCTTGCTATTCCTGAAAGGAAAGAGAGTTTTTGGAAAAAGGTATTCTCCTTGTGTAAGTAAAAACCAATGATATACTTAATGATTCATTCATTAGCAAATTGTTAGCGACTTATTTACAGGAATTTTCAAGCAAAGAGTCTTGTAGCATGGTGCAAGAGATTCCTGGAGGAAGTAACAAGTACTATTTTTATATTTATTTACAAGATGGACTTAACGATCTCCAAAAAGTGTTTGCCTCTTGTGGTAACCATTTGAACATACCAAAACTACTCATTGTGATTTCTCTTCCACTGTCTAATTAATGGCCTGAAGCAGTGGTCAGCAAACTCATTAGTCAACAGAGCCAAATATCAACAGTACAACGACTGAAATTTCTTTTGAGAGCCAAATTTTTTAAACTTAAACCATATAGGTAGGTACGTTGTTATTAATTTAATTAGGGTACTCCTAAGGCTTAGGAAGAGCCACACTCAAGGGGCCAAAGAGCCACATGTGGCTCGTGAGCCGCAGTTTGCCGACCACTGGTAAAGCAACAAAGAAGTATATGAAATATAGAGGCCTTGATTTTTCTACATAAATGTGTATATTAAAATGATCCAAATTTTTAAGATGGTGCAAAGTCCTAAAACTATAATCAGTTATTTCTCCATTGTCCAGTTCAATCACCCAGAACACCTGTCATTTACCTATTTATATATCACTCCTATTCCAGGCATCTTTCTAAGTGTTTTACAAATACGAATTCCTTTAATCCTCAGAACAACTCTATTAGGAGAATTCTGCGTTTTATCCCTATTTTATAGATAGAAAAACTGAGGCATGATGAGGTAAAGTAACTTCCCCAAATACTGGACCATTACTGGCAGACCCTGATACTACTCAGGCACGTGTCTGCAGCCTGTGCGCTGAACCTTCTCCCAGGTATTCTCTGAGGTTCTCTGTTTTTCCTTCTTCAGCTCCTCCCTGTATCTGAGAACATGAAATTCATTTATAAACAAATGAGAATGTCTTTGTAAGAGGAAAAAATAAAATAAGGGAGGGTGAGAACACAAGATGGAAAGGCTCTGATAGAACCACAGATGCATGCAAGGACTCTTTTCATTGTTGAATGCTGAGAATAACATCCCACTTGCCAATTTTCAATCACAGCCCAATGCTAATGTTTACTGGAGGTAATAAATATGGGCTATAACTTCACACCTAGAAAACCTGCAGAAATCAGCATACCTATGGAGATAATATGGTTCAGAGGAGGGTCCATTGTTAAATGTGGAACAAAGGGCTTGGGCTATATCACGGGAATGTGGGAAATTGGACTCTTTTGCCAGGATGCATAGTGCCCTAAACATGAGACCAGAGATAAGAATAAAATAAGATTAAATGCAGTAACCATAAAATGAAGATAACAATACCAACCTATATCTCAGAGATATTATCCATAGTCACTAATAAAATAATTATAAGCAAGGGAAAGAAGTTCTCAAGTAAATTGGAAATAGATGTCTTTTGATAATAACAAAATTTGCAAACAAAATTAATGCTTTCCACTTCAATGAGGAGCCAAAACAAAATTTTAAAAATATACAACTGTAAATTTAGTGGCTGTTTTTTTCTATATGTATTTCAGATGACATGAAGGATAATTGTAAAGGGATTCAGACTGATATAGCCATCTGTTCATGAACTGAATAATGTTTGTGATTATAGCAAGTGAAGCATTGAGCCTTAATCCAAAAGAAGAAATTCTTGGTAAAAACTATGATAGTCACTGGTCTAAATGAGTTCTAGAAACCTGAAAAAGTTTGTGCATTTCCAGAAGTATTTACTGCAAAGAGACTTATAGGAATGAGGGTCTGAAGTCCACTGAGTGTCTTCTACTACCTCCTACTACCTGCATCCTTGTCAGATAGGATCCCTAATTAACTACTTTGGTGATCCATTAAGTCTCAGTCACACATGGCATTTAGATGTGTATCTAAGAGATGCAAGTTGATTAACAACCTGATAATAGGGAAAGCGTCCTCTACAACTAATTCCAACAAAGCTCTTCTCAAGAAACAGGACTTTTTGATTTTTTTAGTTATAGTCTAAAGCCAGCTGGGACAAGAGCATCTATTCTAACAGTTATTAATCCTTCATGGGTGAGTGTTATTCCTAAGTTCCAAAATTTACCACTGATGATTTTGTTTAAAAAGAAAGGTAGCCAAGACCGGTTTGGCTCAGTGGATAGAGCGTCGGCCTGCAGACTGAAGGGTCCCAGGTTCGATTCCGGTCAAGGGCATGTACCTGGGTTGCGGGCACATCCCCAGTAGAAAATATGCAGGAAGCAGCTGATTGATGTTTCTCTCTCATCGATGTTTCTAACTCTCTATCTCTATCCCTTCCTCTCTGTAAAAAATCAATAAAATATATTTTAAAAAAAATAAAAAGAAAGGTAATTTAGTTTGTAAGTTTTATATAAACGTTTGTGTGAACTGGTTGATGGTACCAAAAGAAAACTCATTCTTTACATATTGTGGAATTTCCTTTCCGAAAATGACATCTTTTACCTTTTTCTTACCTTTAATTATTGGCATAAACAGAAAAGTAAGGATTTTCTATGGTGCATTTTAGATTTCTTGCAATCAAACTTTTCTCTTTAGCAGTCTTTAATAAGATATTTAAGATTAGAAAGTTAGATAGCAGTCTTTGACAAATTTAATTATTCAGTTTAAGTGTTTATTAATCATTTATTATGTATATGATACACAGATGTTATTGGGCACATGGAGAAGATAGAATGTTTCGTGAGATTTAAAATTTAATGAGAAATAAAGTTAAATCAAAAGCTATGTAATAACACAATATGTGCATATTAAAATACCACAGGACCAGACTAAGATATTCTAATGCAGGTGACGTATTTGTACATTAATGTTTGAGAACCACTTTGCTAAGAAGTATCATAGTACTTTCATACTACACAGATCATTGATTTGGTTTTCCAATAGTTAAAACAACTTCCCAAAATAAGTAAGGATTTATTGACATTGATAAATTGTATTTTCCTAGTGGTAGAATTTTTCCCAGTGGTAGAATTTTTAATAGGTTTGATGGGAACACAAGCCAGAATAGAATTTAATATTATCCACAGAGAATCTTCATGCCAAGGGTATCTGAGGCAATGTCAGGTAAATGACTCAACAAAGAATTCAGTGAAGAAATAGGACTGTA